ACATACAAAACTGAGGATAGGGATACCGGGTCTAGGTCAACATTACCAACATCACAAATAGATGATGTGGAGCCATTAGCAAGTGTAACAGATTGTGATGTTGAGCAATGAGTGAGAGAAGAAAACACACTTGGAGTTCCAGTCATGTGATCGGAGGCTTTAGAGTCAATAATCCAGGGGTTGGGTGTGGATGCCAAACAAGCCATACCTGAGTGTGCAAAAGTAGTTGTGTTCTGCTGCGACATGGATTGAACAAACCTTTCATACTCATCACGAGGAACACTCACCATCTCCTTGCCTGGACCATCTGAAGAGGTAGGAGGCATCTGCTCAGCTGAACGGTTCTCCTGTCTAAAATTGGAACTGGTGTCACTAGTCATGGCATGATTGGCCCATGTCGAGGGTGGACCATGCAAGTCATAACAGTAATTAATAGTATGTCCATCCAAACTACAATGAGTACACCTCCGTGGACCCGAGCCACGTCCTCTACCACGAGCTCCCCCTGAATCTCTGCCTCCAGTATGACCACCACCACGGGTATGTGTAGATCCACCACTACCACTCCGGCCATATACTGAGCCACTACTGCCACCACGGCTAGACTGGGCTCCTCGAGCCCCACCTCTAACACCTCGACCTCTCGACACTGCAAATGCTATTCTATCTGAGACATTAGGGTTTTCCATAGATCCAATGGAAGTCCTCCAAAGTCGAGCAAACACCTCCTCTAAGGATGGAAGGGCTGATCCTCCTAGTATCTGGGCTCGTACTGGTTCATACTCGGATTTCAGTCCCACCAGAAACCGAGTCACATCAAGCTGCTCCCTCTATTGTTGTTGAATCTTGACATCAGGAGTGAGAGGGTGATAGACATTCAACTCATTACGGATGTTTCTCATACTGGCATAGTACTCCTTAAGACTCTGATTGCCCTGTTGCAGATTGAAGTATTCCTGATACAGTTGATATACCCTGGTTGTATTGTCCTGACCAGAATACAATTTCTTAGCATGATCCCACACCTCTTTGGTCGTGTCAAGAAACATGAAGTTCATACTAATTCTGGGTTCCATACTGTTCCATAACCACGTGATGATCTGTGCATCTTCTTTTTCCCAGTCTTCGTACTCATGAGAAGCAGTGGAGGGTTTCTCCTCTCTTATGTGCTTCACCTTCTTCTTTGCCTTCAGAAAAACCTTTATAGACTTAGCCCAAGGGACATAATTCTCCCCATTCAGTTTAATGGAGGTCATTTGGACATTCAGGTAGTC